TGGCAAGTGTCAGTGGACGGATGACTTGCACTGATCTTCTGTTTAGGCTGACTCTTTGTCAGTCTTTCCTTCATCGCTCACATCGCAAGGAATTACTGAAGGACCCAGTTACTGGAGATGAAAGCTGGATCCTCTACGACGCTAGCAAGCACCGCGAGGTCTGGCCTCCGCGAGGAGAACAGCCAAGTCAAGAAGTTTCTGTTTTGCTGCTTCTGGGGTTCGAAAGGAATGCTGTACTATAAGGTTGATGCATAATTATTGCGGATTATTTCAACAAATTTTATTTAAAGACACGATATAAATATCTGACAAAGACATGTTCAAATAACTGCTCCGGAGCGTATCCACTATTTACGTCAAGCTCTGCTTCCCATCTGTTAGGGCGGTCGGATTCCACAAGCGAAAAGTTTCGATTCTTGGAGGCGATACACACCTCGATTCCAGTCATCAAGTCATCAATTAGTTTGTAAGTTCTCTTCGCCGGCCAATTTTCCAACGAAACCTTGACGTCATAATCAATATAGGTGTTCGTGTCGGTCAGTATGTCACATATAGGAGCAGGTCACGTTCCTTTCTTGGCTTCGGGTAACTGTTCCATCGCCGAAAAGTTCGTTGAGATCGTGAAATGGCGCCGTCACCTTATAACCTTTCTCGAAGTAGTAGAGCATAGTGCGACGAATATGAAGATGACGTTCTAGCGCATTTTTGTTAAGGAAATCAAAATGATTATTTCTATGAAAACCCCGAATTAAATATTTAAATTGTATCGAGAGAAAAGAAGCCACAATAATTATGCATCAATGTAATACAAACCGCTCAAGCAAGGCCACTTTGACACCGCTCCCTGTTACGCTTGTCAGCTGCAGAAACTTGCGGAAGCCGTTCGGGAAAACGGCCTAAACGAAGTTTTGTGACCTCTTTCATGACAACACTATTCCCCACATACGCAAAGCGACTTGTGCAAAATTGAGGGAGCTATGCTGGGACACGGTTAAACATCCACCTTACGTCTCTGATATTGCTCCCTCAGATTACCACATGCTCCGACCCCAAGGCTTTCCTAGTAAAAAAAATAATTCGTCAACTATGACCACCTCGAACAAGTGGTAAGTGACTTCTTTGTCTCCTAGTCTTCCCATTTCTGGGAGGAGGGAATCACTGACCTGCCCGTTAGGTGGGACAATGTTATAACTAACGATGGTTATTATATTGTTGACTAGCTTGCATTGTTTGCTGAGTTGTAAAATAAAACAAAAAAGAATCTTTTCGATCAACCTAATACACAGAAACCCTGTGGAATCTTCTAGAGGATGACAGGAGAGATCAAGACTTTTGCGAACCTTTCGGCGGACACTTTCTGCAGAATCTAACAAATACCAAAAATAATCAAACATGACTTTGCATGACTCACTAAAAACCGCGGAAAATAATTTGTAGAAACTTTGAAAAGTACAAGAAAAACGAATCTGGCAAGCATCGATCGAAGGAAAACTCGCTCAATGTACAAAACAAAATCCTTAATATATAAAACGTACTGTACTTACTTACAAAGGAAGGATACTTGGTCGCAGTGACCATTCAAGATGAGATGTATACCCCCGTGGTGGTTTTGAACGCTGATCTCAAATCTGTGTTCCAAATCTGCGAAACGATTCTGGGAATAAAGTTACGGGACCGGGGCCTCCCTGTGTTATACCACTGCGCTGAACGGATCACCGAGCCGTGCAAAGCCCTTACCTGTGGAACGGTGGCCTAGGGGATAGTGTGGTGGACTAATAAGCATGACATCAAGGTTCGACTCCTTGATGCAAGAGCTCGTTTTGCTTTTCCATAAAATGTGTCCTAAACGCTTGCAAAACCTTTTTGGGCTCAATGTTGGGTATCTACAGAGCTCCCTCACAAATAAGGAATGCTGGCGAGGTATTACAAGGCAAGTTTTTTTTGCCTCTCATCGGCCGATTCGAGCAAAAGAGGAATTCTAAATATTTGCTTAAAATGAGCCTCAAAGGCCTTAGGGAGGAATAATTCAAATGATTCATCGGATCAAACACTCTTCAACACGTTACCAGTGAATCTTCTGAACTGTGGCGTCATCATACTTGATGGAGGAACTTCGTTCTTGTAGCATGAAGTAGGCACCAACACTATCCAAGAGGCGGTAATCAAGTGGTTTCGAACCGTACTTATCGATATTATGAAAACAAGCCCATTATCCTTTGCGAAGAAATAGAATTCGTGAAAGACGATCACAATGATCCTCTCTGGTCGCCTGATGAGGACAGCGACGATGGACTCGTAGCTTCGCAAATGAAACTTCCTACGTTTGTGGGGATATAGAGGCTCCCAAGTGAAACGTAGCCCTCAGATTTGTGATCTGGCCCATGAGCTCCAATTTTGTGGCACTGGTGGAAGAGTTTATAGTCTTCTAAAGCTCGAGCTTCAAAAGAAGTCGCACCTTCTCGGGCATGAGAAACTCGTTTTGTATCATCACGACAAAGGGCAGTCTACGGAAATTAAGAGAGCATGAGCTTTCGAAATAATCTGTTATTGACAACTTACGATGTATTATGTGGTCGCAACTATCAGGTGCAAAACAAGCGAGTCGGTCTGCCTACCTATGGAGATTAGCGGTTAAGTTGGAAGGATAACTTATCATAAAATTAATAAAGGAGTCCCACTGCACGACAGTCATTTCCAATGGTTACCAGTGAAGGCTCATGGAGGAAAAATTCAAAACAATTCATAGGTGGATTCAGGGTTTTGAGGGCAGCCGTGGTACCATGCCCCACCGCATCACCACGTTCACCTCATGAGAGAGCTCTTTGAAAGGACGTCTACTTCAAGAAAGAGCGGATAATCATATGTGCACACAAAGCGAAAAACTATTGTTTTACAGTATTTTTTCAACAATGCCAGTTAACTTGTACCACCGCTTCGAAAGCACGGGCACTATTCCCAGAATCTGTGGACGGTATCTCTCCCAAGGAGGGCTCTGGTCGGATGTGTCATTCGACCGCCGCCTACCGTAAATACGGTAGATGCAGGAGATTTCGAAAAACCATCTTGACAGTTCAGGGCGAGCGGCAGATGTATATATTCGGCCAGTGGTGGTTTGAAAGATTTTTATTGGATAACTATTCCCCGGAGTCATAAAGTGTGAGGGAGCCCTGTAGACGCCCAACATTGAGCCCAAAATCGTTTTGCAAGCGTTTAGGACGCATTTTATGGAAAAGCAAAACGAGCCCATGCATCAAGGAACCGAACCTTGATATCATGCCTATCAGTCCACCGCACTATCCCCCAGGCCACCGTTGCACAGGTAACGGTTTTGCTCGGCTCGGTGATCCGTTCAGCGCAGTGGTATGACACAGGGAGTTCCCAATCCCGTAACTTTGTTCCCAGAATCGTTTCGCAGATTTGGAACACAGATTTGAGATCAGCGTTCAAAACCACCTACGGGGGTATACATCTCATCTTGAATGGCCACTGCGACCAAGTATCCTTCCCTTGTTAGCAGTACTTCCACTGTGGTTGGCGGAGCTAAGATAAAAATTCACAACTCTGCTCAAAACCGTTCTAGGTGGCGAAAAAAGTGATCAGGGGGCGCTGAAAGAAGGACATCCATGTTTGTAATGGGTTGCCTATAGGAAAAATTGGCAGGTTAGGAATAGGTCAATAAATGAAAAGATTCGTAGCATAGAGGGCGGGATTCACACTACGATCAAAAGTTCATAGCACTCTTCAAAAACTTTAAGATGCGGAAAAAAGGGGCTAGAGGCTATACGGGCGGAGATAACGTTCAGGTGGGTGGGGCCGAGATCAAAAATCCACCTCTATCCATAATAATTACGAACTCCGGAAAAAGTGCAAAAAGGCTGCTGAAAGAAGCATGTTTCACAAGGATGGCGATTTATGGACAAAAGTTTAGCTCGGACAGGACTCGAATCCGTACTTGCACACCGTGCTCTATCCCTTACACTTCCGAGACCCCGTTGCCTTCGCCTTCTTAATGGCTTATATGCCATAGCTTATCAGCACTCACAGGTACAACGTGTTGAGCTGGTCGGCCATTATCACTATTAACCTTGTGAGACTTTCGGGACCCGTATTGCGGCAAAATAACAGCAGTTTACAAAATATCAAGTCAAAAGAAGGAAGGATGGTCAAATGTTCGCTGTGAGCGGGGGTGATGGCAAATATTCATAAGATTGTTCAAAGACCTTCGTAACGTTCCAAAATCGAGCCTTTTATGACGCCATCATCATTACTTACTGACTATAGAATCATCATCATTACTTACTTCGTTTGAGGAATTCGTTACTGTCTGTCTATTTGTTCTCTGAAGAAGCATTGAAGGGACCCGTGGGCCAAGTCTGGGATTGGTGGAACCGGAGGTAAGTTCAGCAGAGCACATATGAGTTCAGGGAAACCCCACTCAAAGGAGAGAAACATGCATCGGAATGATTGATGCGATGGGAAAACTTCATAATTCTTCTTTCTCAAGACACGGGTAAAAATGTTCAAAGGTTAGAAGTGGGTCAACAAATCAGACGAAGACGACTTCTCTGCATTGGAGGAAAGCTTTTCTGAAGTTCTAGATGAACTCGTAACCCATCACAGCCTACAGCCAGATTCTTGAGAGATGGAGTTCGAACCAAAAAATGCATAACTCTATTATCTCATCTCTTTGTAGTGTTACAAGTGTTGTGTGCGAACCCAAATAGCGCGCTGTAAACGCGGTTCCAGAAACAAGGGAAAGAGAGGATGATTCAATATCAACTACATTCCCGTACCAAGCAAGAAGGAAAATTCTAGGCTTAATTACTTGAGCGAATTGCCGAGCTATTTTTCTGGATCTTAGCTCACGTACCATAAATCCATTTGTGTATAAAATCGACACATTGTGAGCCCTATAGATATCAAAACACTCATACGAATTCATTCGAATGGAACAACCACGCGTCGGGAAGAAGCACACCAATGATTGTAGTTCCCTTTCACTAGTTGATATCGAATGAAACGCGAACAACTTGAAAAGAATTTACTTCTTCCATAGGATAAACACAAAAATATACACCTACCGTCAATTGCCCAGCTACCCCAAAGTCGGCCAATTTAGCTTGCCCTTCAGTGTTGAGTAAGATGTTGCCAGCTTTGATATCACGATGTATTTTCTTAAGATCGTGAAGGTATCTTAATCCTTCTATGGTATCCCTTAGTACGGCACTCATCTCACGCTCGGTTAATGTTTTGCGCCTCAATCGCATAATATCGGAAACAGAACCAGCACCGCAGTACTCCATCACAATCTATAAAAATTATACATGAAATTTCATAGAGTTAATAGATACGAACTCGCATCACTTACCCACAGGTCAGAATTTTTGAAGTAGGACCCGTAGTACTTCACGACATATTTACTGTCACACTGTTGCATGATACTGATTTCTTTTATTATCTCCTGAAATGTGTAGAACAACTGGAAACACAGTGGCTTTGATGGAACTGATGACAGCATTAAGCAAGTGATCAGAACGATTAGTGCTTCTCAGCTCAAGGTTACGGCGGATACCTATAACCATAGTGCCTTGTGAGAGGACAAAAAGTTATTAAAACATGAGAGGCCGGAAGTTACTTAAATAGAGCTCCACTGTGGGTGAGGGTGAAATGCGCCCCTCACTTTCAGACCAAACAGACTCAAAACTCCAAACTAAAACTATACGTCAGATCTGTCAGGAAAAGATTAGAAGCAAGGCAGCGCAAAGAATTCCTTATAGTGAACAAAGAGAGCATGTTTAATCTCTAGAGTGATCATTTTTCTCTCACTAATTCATTGTGCTTCGCTAATCCCTCGATATAATCAAGGTTTTATGCGTGCAACAACTATGCTGAATTGTCTTGAACCTAATTCATACTATATACAGGGTGCACCATAAATATGGCAAAAAAATACAGATTGCGCCATAAATATGGTAACACAATAATTTGGCCACAGAAACAGCAGTTCATATTCATAAATAGTGAATTTATGTAAACTATTTACTATATATCGCATCTACGAAAGGAATACACGGTCATCTTATATAACCGTCCCCTGTATTAGTTATAGCTCGAAGACGCTTCGGCTACTCATCGACGGTAGCCACAGTTTCTTGAGAAACTTTGGCCTAAACTTTTTCCAATGATTCCCTAGGAGCATCAACAGCGGTGCGTTTTGAAGCGCAGGATTTCTTCTCCAGTATGGACTATATTCAGCAACTCATCACAATGTGGTCCGGGAAATTCGTAGAAGGATTGGAAGGTGGTATATGGTCGCGAACATTCCTTCAGCACCATTCTCGATCTTGTTCCATTCATATGAGCAAGTGCGCCGTAGCTTCCAAATCGGATCCCTAGAAAAATTTTTTACCCTCATCTGAATCCTTTCAGAAAACCCTTTCTCAAAGAGGTTCGGAATATTTTGTACTTTCCTCGACCAAAATTTGCGATATCGCACTGATGGCAGAAATTCTAGCCCAAACTGTCATGAAAAAGGAAAATGGCTTTGAGGGGCGATCCGACTCTTCTCAACGGCTTCAGCACTCGTTATGGGAAATATACGTGTACTTCGAGATCCCAACGTTTCTTCCACGCTGAACATCCTTAAGTCAGAAAAAAGTGTCGAAGCGCGTGCCGCGCGCAAGTAGCGCACGGCATTTGTTTTCTCTCTTCAACTTCTTTTCGTCGAAGAGCTTATAAGGCTCTCGAGTCTTGGATACAATTGTGTTTATTCTGGGTAGACTCTTCCCATCGGTTCAGAAGATATAAACAAATCAGCAGTCATTTTTTGTATTTCTGCAGTTTCAGCAGCGTTCTCCTTCCCGAACAATTGTATTTGGAAAAGGGGTTGTATACGAGACAAGACGACCGTATTGAGGTTTGTTTTTGACCGATCTACGCAACGCGATTTAAGAGACTGTCATGTAGGAAATGTCGAAACGAGGAACGAACCCGAAAAAGGACTCACCAAATGCGCGCAAAGACGGAACGGTCGGTGGGTGTCTGCGAGGATCCACCGTTTCTCGAAATCTGACGAATTGAGAATACCAATGTAGATATGTGGGCTAAGGTATATCATAAACGTAAGGGGAGGTGCAGCTTTGGAAAAACCCTGCAAACAGGGAAACTACGGACGTCCGAAAAGTGTTACCATATTTATGGCGCACCCTGTAATTGCTGTGCAGAAACCGCAATACATAATGATACATGATGAATTTATGGAACATTGAAATAACCGTCTCCTGTATTAGTTATAGCTCAGGAGCTTCGGCTACTCATCGACGGCCACACGCAGAGCTTCTTGAGAAACTCAAGCCCTGCTTTACCCTACGATTTCTAAGAAGCAGCAGCAGTGGTGTCTTCTAAGCGCAGCCTTTCCTCTCCAGTATTCACTACACCCACGGACCCTTTTCTTTCAGAGCCAGAAAATTCGTAGACCAATTGGAAGCAGGGATGAGATTGCGAACATTTCCCAGCACCAGTTTTGACCTTTTTCATTCGCAAGCAAGTACGCCAGCGTTTCCAGATCGTTTCCCAGGGATAATCTTTGATTCTAGGCAGCACCTTTTCAGGAAAGTCTCTCATGAAGGCGTTCTGGTCAATTCTGGCCAATTTTCATACTTTTCTCGACAAAAAATAAGCGATAACGCTCTGATGGCACAGATTCCAGCCATTCCGAGAAACGATTTGACCCTTCTCAACTCACTCTTCTCTTTTTTTTTTGAGAAATAACGTGTAATATGAGACTGGAACATTTCTTTCACGCTGAAAACCTTTCTCTCAGAGGAGTGTGTCGAAGCGCGTGCCGCGTACATATACGGTACGGGATGCGTGCTTCCTCTCAAACTCGTCGAGAAGCTTATAAGGCTTTTGAGATCTGTCTGTATACCCCTGCATTCAATCGTAGTATACTTTTCTCGTCGAGGTAGAACATTCAACTCGGCGGTCATTTTACTCGTTTTTCTTCATGTTTCACAGCATATCATTTCCAAAAACTTGTATTCGAAGAAAGGCTCGCCATCGAGACAGGACGACCGTCCTTAGGCTGGTCGTTGGTCTGTTCACGCATCGCGATACATGAGACTCATGCGTCGAAACGACGAGAGATCCCTGAATTGAACTTACCAAATGCAAAGAGGAACGGCTGGCTGTATGTCAATTTTTGAAAAAAGGGCCAACTGAGAGCACCAAAACAGATATGTGAGCAAAGGGAAGAAAAATATAATAAATAAATAAATAAATAAATAAATAAATAAATAAATAGATAAATATAAGAGAAGGTGCAGATTTGGAAACTCCCTCAAACCAAGGAAATGCTTTCTTCCGCAAAACCGCAAAATTACGACCATATTTATGACGCACCCTCTATAATCAAAAGTTTGGAGATCTGTCGCAAAAATGGTATTACCCGAAAAACATTTGTAGAGATTGGTCCAAGTTGGGCATGGCGGAGCTCCGCCCACCAACGCATAAAAAGCGCCCTAATAAGCGATGTCAAGAGCCAAAAACCTTACTTTGGTTGCGATAGAGTCCAGGCACCGCAAAAAAAGAGCAAATGTGAGGAGGGGATCTATAAAGCACCTGCTAATGGTGGAGCGTCCTTCAAGTGAGCAGTTCTTTCTGCGTGTGGTCCTAAGTTGGTCCCAACGTAGCCAGGACGCCAGGAAAACATTCGTTAATGGGCAATGTTCAAGGTGTGCTTAACATGCCTAAGCTCAGCTAAAAGGCGCCTACTATGGGCGGTACGTGCTTTAGAATGAAAGGTTCATCCAGAACCTGAAAAAAGTAAGTAAAGGCTACAGAAAAAGGATAATACGATTATCATAAGGGTGAGTGGGGAGTACGTTTAGGTAGGTGGGGCCAAGATTAAAATTAATCAACTTTCTCCAAAAACGTCCTGGAGTCCACAAAAACTTTTTTGAGCAGGGCGGGCGGCAGGATAGGAGAGTTGATAGTGGATAGCAGGACGGGACTGCGCCCGCTATGGCGAAACGCATGCTTTTAGTGTGTTTGAAAAGACCTAATAACATCTGTTCCCTTGGACGTATAGCGTTTAGATTTGGAAGGGATACAGATGGCAGTATGAGAACGCTGATATAAGGTGACAAGACTGGACTCCACCCACAAGACGTGAAGTACCCGAAATGAGCGTTCCCCTTAAGGAGCGTCAAGGGAAGACTATCAAGGAAGGTCTTTCAGGGCGTAGGACGCTTTTTGAAACTGGTTTTTTGAGTGGTATAGGGGCATGGGCACTGAGTATAGAACTTTGGTCCATTTCCGCTAAATGGCCTTCTGAATGCCAAAAAAGGAGCAAAAATGATTTTGTCAGAAATTGCAGTTTTAACCCACTAAGCGTCGCTTGTTTCACTCATGGCGTCAAGTGTCCGCACAGTAGAAGGCGCCAGTGGACTACGCAACGAAAATAACGTGAACGGTAGCCAAAAAAAGGGAGCCACATGTTGAAAAGTGCGGGGAAGTTTCATATGTGCTCTCCACTGTTGAGCTGCTAGCAGCGACGGATGGTGTGGTGGATAGCGGTGTGGTCTTTGAGCTTTGACGGCTAGGCTGGGTTGATGGTTCGCATCCTCGAGGCGCTGCCGTTTTCGCATTTTCCGCTGCCACCTCCAGATTGGCTCCACATTGCACCAGGGCCAAAGCAATTGCCTTACAGGTCATGGTCGTGATCGGAACCAGCGATAACCTCTGCAAGTTGAATTTTGGGAGAGCATTTTTTTTGCAAGAGCTGCTACATGCCAATTTCGGTACACGATGAAGAGGCGTTTATTTGCTGTCCTATCAATGGTGAAAGGCCACCTTTCATGGAGTTATAGCGCGAAACTGTTGATGCAGAATAGTTCATCGCTCGCAAGATATGAAACAAAGCAATCCCAAAACTTACAACCTTTTTTAGATTAATAATCGATGGGCGAGTTGCTGACAACGAGAGGGACACTTGGACGATACACTTCAGTCGCTGGAGAGCAACGTTCGTTAGGTATTATATGAGCGGTACCAGCTGACAGCATTTACAACAATGGTACCTTATTTTGAACAATATCAACCTATAAAAGGCCGCTCAACGTCCCTCCATGAAACTACTGATCGGCGTTTGAATAGGATAGTTGTCTAGCACCTATGACGTAGTGACCCATGTGACCATGAAGAATTTCAGTTCATGATGGACGCCTTTAAATACCTTTGAATAGACTCAAAAATCAATTCATTGACATTAGACCATCACATAGCATTACGTCAAGGACGTTAAATACTTCCACTACAGTCTTATCTACAGCTTATCTCCATTCATTGGAAATCAACGGAGTTTCTTCCAAATGATCGCCTGATTTAAAGCAGGGTGTGTGCGTGGAAGTAATGGTATTCGAAAGGGGTTCATTGATA